ATCAGTGCCAGATTTCAAAGCACATTACAAAGTGGTAATCATCAAAATGAGTCGACTAGGCAGCACAGTGGATTGAGTACTGGGTCTGGAGTCAGGAAGACATTTCCCTGAATTCAAATCTAGCTTCAGATATTTACTAGCTGTGTGATCCTGAGCAAGTCACTTAGTCCTGCTTGCCTCAGTTTCCTCATCTGTAAAATAAACTGGAGAAGGAAATGGCAAACCATCCCAGTACTTTGCCAAGAAAACCCCAAATAGGGTCATGAAAAGTCAGACATGACTGAAAATGACTGAACAACAACAACTACAACAAATCATTACAACATTCTGGTAGTGGGTAAGAAATAGAGTGATGGATCAGTGGAATAGATTAGGGACACAATGCACAGTAGTAGTAAATGACCACAGTAAGCTAGTGTTTGATAAACCCAAAGATCCAGGCTTTGAGGGGAAGCACTCAACATTTGACAAAAATTGCTGGGAAAATGGCAAAGCAGTTTGGCAGAAACTTAGCATCAAACCAACATCTCACACCAGCATAAGGTTAAAATGGATAAATGACTTAGATATAAAAGATGATATTATAAGTAAATTAGGGGAGCATGGGAAAATATACCTGTCAGATCTATGGATAAGTTATGACCAAACAGTAGATAAAAATGATTAGTTGAAATAAAATATTCTCTTTGTGATATTATATAACTGTTAATCCCTGAACACTATGATCTTTAAACAATCAAATGATAGGTGGCTGAAAGGAAGAGAAACATAGTGGGTACAAAAAGATTATGACACACTACCAGTGATGATTTGCTTGTAAGAGGTAGAATGAAAAAGACCAGGAAATGTCCTGTCAAAAATGAAATCAACCAGTCATGGAACAAGAATATGGATTAGCTCAAGAGTTAAAATACTACCTCACAAATGTTAAAAGATCCAGAAAAGATCCTCTACCATGTTATATAGATAGTCTATGTAGCATTTAAGGGGGGGTCATGAATAAAAATCACAAATTGATGAGATGGTATGAATGTGTTGTGATTTTCACCTTGTTACATCAACTCTTCCCAACAACTTTGTAATTATAATTATAGATTTGAAAGATGATGAAAATTAATGTCACTGTTTTTATTTTGTTAAAATTATATAACATTATCATAATTTCTCTAAGTAAGTAGTCTGACTTGGAGAATAGAAAGCCAGGAAGTCAGGAAGTATGGGTTAAAGTCATGCCTCTGACACATGAAAGCTATGACATTTGGCAAATTATTTAACACCTTCATACTACTACACAATCATTATTATGCTACCTTGCTAAAGGAATTTCACCTTACTAGGAGTGTCCTACAACCAGTGAAATCAGGAATCCCTTCCCTCATTTTTCTAATCAAAATGTAAATAGCTAAAATTTTAAGATTTTGTGGGTATATTTCTGAAACAATCTGTTCAATTATTAATTTATTTGTATTTATTTATTAGGTTTGTCATAAAATATATTTCAGAAATAAAAAAACATTCGTGCTATATGGCTTTTTGAAGGTAAAACGACAATCAACTCAGAGTTATGTTTACAGAGAAATATGAAGAAACTATACTTTAAGGAGATTATGATAAAGCTTATGATTAGGCCTTTAAAATGTAACATTCCCAGTAAATCCATCCTTGAGGACCATGAATGTGAATCTGTCAAAATGGTAAGCTTATTCTCTATGGAGAATTACAAAATTCATACATCCTTCTAAAAAGATTTGGCTGGAAGGAGCTGTGTGAGCTGTTAATGAATTTGGCATTAAGAGCTTTGCATTAACTCCTAAGAAGCAAATTTTCTGGCTACAGTCCTGGATTTCGAGGCAGTTGAAATCAGCTCTGGTTGCTTTCTCTAAGGTCAATAGTAGATAATCCAAATTAGTTAATTATACAGATCATTAAACAATTTGTCCAGAATTCTATAACCTCTACCCATTCCTTTCTAATATTTTCTGAATGGTTATCAGAAGAGTCAGGGTTAGGTGACCTCCCACTAGTAGGCTAGCTACACTAAGAATATCTAAGGTGCTCAAACTTCTGGGTTAAGTGACCAAAAAGATGGAAGACTAGATATTTTTTTTGATACTCATGAGCTCCCAAACCTCTCAAAAACAGAAATTATGTACCAAAAATAAAGTAACCTTAGCTGTCTCCATGGTCTAGGACACCAAGAGCCAAGAAGAAGGCAAACACTCCACGAACCAATGCCTAAGTTATGATCATTCAGCACTCCCTCCCTTACTGCCCTCTATGCTCCTAGCAGCAAGGTTGCACTGGCCAATCTAACCCACCCCATGGACTTGTAACAAAAATGCAATATCATGCCTTGACTTTTCCTCACTCTTTCCAGTGCCTTGGAGATCCAAGCTCCAAACTGCAGAAATTTTGTGAGGCCTCAACAGTTGGTGCCAGAGCAGCATTCTGTAATGCAAATATATGATCTCTGAAGGAGAGCAGAAGAACAGAGCAAATGTGGCAGCACATCTTACCTCACCCCTCCTCTCAGAGCCTCAGAGATCCAATTCCAAACAACATATAGTTTTCCAGGCTACAATTGTTTCAGTGTGGCAACACTCTGTATTTCTATGCCAGAGAACTAAGGAACAGAGTGAATGGAAAAGGACACATGTTGGGGAGGGAAGGACACTATGCAGCACTCTACTCCTGAGGAAAAGAATCCAGCATCCCATTTGGGGATAATCTTGTTCACCCATTTACCCAAATTCACTTGGAGCAGAGACCTAAAGTAGTGAATCATGAATTGCATAGTATGAAAGGAGGCTGAGATGTTTTGAGATCTAGTCCATGAGATTCGGGATCTAACCTCCCCATTAAAGAGGAGGGAGTGGGAACATGAATAATAGGGGAAAATAGGAAGAAAAAGACTGAAATTAGCAAAGATCTCAGGAAGAAGAAAACTAAAAAGACCTTGAACTCAGAGAAAATAAGGGAGAAGATAACAAAAATGAAGAAAATATGGCCTTCACATCTAGTAAGTAAATGCAAACATCTATGAATAAATACTGAAAAAGAAAGAAAAATGCTTCAATACCTGACTGTGGATTTCGAGGAGAACATGGAACCACAATATACCATTTCCTGAGTGGTCTAAAAGAGAAATGAGAATTGTAACAGTAGAATTTATAGTCTGCAAAAAAAAAAATTGGCAGAATAGAAAAAACTTGAATTGGCAACGGCAAGTCTCATCAAAGAAACAAAAGAGACAACTGATTGGAAATAGAAATACTATAAAGGATAATCTGGAAGAAGAGAGGCAAAAACATCTCTTAAAAGAAATAAAAGAAAACATGCTCTTTATTCAAGCAAAATATATTGCTCTCAAAGACAAGATATATAAAGATAAGGATTGTAGGTATCCCAGAAAAATACAAGTCAAAAAACCTGAACACCATAATGCATGAAATAATACAAGAAAACTCCACGGGACTTCTGAACACAGAAAATGAAATACCAATTGAAAGAATCCATAGATTACATCAAGAAAAAAAACCTCAACAACAACAAACAAACCAACCCCAAACCAAGGCTGTAAACTCCAAAACAGTCATTAATTCTAACAATTCCATTGAGGGGGAAAAAACACCAGAAAACACAGGAGGGATTGAAGATTCTCCAGGGCGTAAAGTCAATGGTGCTCCTTTCTTCCCTAGAAAATTTACTGCTAAGGTAAGGTCATTTTCAACACTTCCACAATTTAATGTGCCTATCTTCACCTCACTTAGAGACTTAAATAACCCTTCTAACTTGTAGTGCGTTCTATGCTAGAATTGAGGCGTCCACACTACAGGAAAGGATTTTGTATATCTAGAAAGGTGTGCCCTTTCCCTGGATTTGCACATAATAACTCACATTAACCATGAAGGGCAAGGATCAGGTTTGTTCATCCATATAGTGGCTTTCCCCTTTACTATAGTTAAATTCTACTTCTTGTTTGATCTAGAACTGTCTCTAGTGTTTCACCACTGTGACTCCACTGCAGTTGCCCATAGCTTATCATTTCTAATTTTTTTCCAGGAATACCTCTTGCCTCAGTACACTGTCATCCCTAACGCTTCATGGTACCCTGAAAACATGTGAAGTGACTAGGTAGCTTTTAGGACTTCCCTCTAGGCAACTGAAAGTATGTTTAATTGATTTCTCACTGTCTGACCTTCAAATTTTGATTCTGTTCTCTCTAGTTCTCCTTTTGGAGGCCAAGGGCATATTCCAGTGTATGAACTCATGGGGAATCAACTAAATATATTCAATATGGTGTTAAGGGGACAAAGTGAGTACCCAAGGTCAAGTAAATTCATAGCTAATATCATGAAGAGAAATGAACACCTCATTAAGGAGACATGAGTCATTCCAGATGTCTAACAATTATCTCTACCCATCTTCTATACCCAGGTGTAGGATTTCTCTGTATATATGCACATTGTTCATTATCAGTCATGGGTGTGTTCAGACTTAATCCTGTAAAGGTTAGCTCCTCGTTAACAAAGTTAAAGGATATAGCACTGAGAATTTCTCCCTGTACAAGATGTCAATATCTCCATGACACCACTTTGAAACATTTTTTTGTGGCATTGAAGGGTTGTCAATTTTCTTTTGCTCTGGATGTTGACCTATTGAGGTTGATTGATTCTTGGCCAGGTTAGAGTAGTTGGGCTACAACTTTGAACTAAGACTTTTAAAAGAAAAACTAGTCAGAGACAGGGAGAGAACAAGAACTGAGACACTAGAGAGAAGCTAGTTGGTAGCACATAAACTAGATTCCTGTGTTCATGTGCCCCCCAATTTAATACCAGGATATTTGTTACAGTAGGACCCAATATGATGGGGTTTAAATGTTTATACTACCAGTGACTCAATTTCTCACCTAGACTTGTAGACATTCCATTTCTCTATGGGTTTGGCATGGTCTTGCAACCTACTCTCACATTAGCAGGTCTAATTTCCCAGAGATAGACAGACCATCACCACATGGTTATATTCAAACTCTCTCAGGATCCTTGAGATAACACTATTGAGGGGGAATATATGTCTCCTCCTAGCTACTTTAGTTCTTAAGCCCACCTCACCCAGTGTGAAATTCAATGTATTTTTTCTATCTACATAAAAAGATATTTCCAATAATGACATTTTTAGATCTTAAATATAACAATTTACTTAATGATAAGTTAAATAATATTAATATATAAGAAATAATATAAATATTAAAGCAAATGCATAAATAATAAAATTCATGACAATACACATATAAATCCAAATAATACTCTCCAACCAATGCCCCTAATATCTCTGGTGAAGAGTACGCACATTCTCATACTAACCTGACATGAAAACATGTAAAGGAGGAAAGAAAGGATTGCTAGCTAGAAAGTGATCAGAGAAAAGTGGCCAGGATTGTGATGGAGCCTTGAGATTAGGCCAAATAAGGATCAGTTGAAGGAAGACAGGCACGATACCTTAGAAAGAGAAGACTTAAGAAGGATAGGATAGCTATCTTCAAGTATTTAAAAATACATAATTTGGAAGTAGTATTAGATGAGTTATTTTTGGTTATAAAAGGTAAATCTAGGAACAAAGGATTGAAGTTGCAGAGAAGCTTATATAAAGAGGAATTTATAATTAATTAAAACTATTCAAAATCAGAATGAGTTGCCGTTCACTAGATCAAGACCTGCAATGGAACTCAGAAGCCCAAATCGCTTAGAGTCCAATATCCCATTTTATATGTTATAGTATGATACATTTAAAATTGGAAAGGTCCTTAAAGGTCATTGGATTCAATCCCCTCATTTTATAGGTAAGGAGATAGGTACAGAAAGTGACTTGCACAGCATCACATAAGTAATCATCATCAATATCAGAATCTGAACCCAGGCCCTCTGATGCAGAGACAGAACTCTTTCCACCATATCATTCTGCACAAACGAGAATATCATTTTGTTCATACCTACCATGACTTTTGTTCCAACTCTTAAGAGAGTCTGTGATTCTTTACCTAGATATACACAGTATCATAGATGTTATTAGCTGGAAAGCAACTTAGAATCCAAGTCCAACAGTCTCATTTTACAGATGAGGAAAATAAGGTCCATGGAGGTTAAGTGATTTGCCCAATGTCACACAGGTAGTAAGCATCAGTGGTGAGATTTGAACTCAAGTCATTCAACACTAGATCAATGTTCTTTCAATTGTCTCATTTTACAAAGACTGGAGACTGTTCTTCAGTTATGTTCATACTCACTGGAATTTTTATTCAGGTCCCAACTGGATTAGATTGCCTCAAATGCCCTATCCTTTTGCCCTGACTGTTTAACTACTAGGGGTAGTTGAATTATGTGGATTTCAATAACACTATCTATACTCACTGGTGAGATGGAGGGTAACTAGTCTCTAACATCTGCCCTGCCACTGAGTCCTTACTATCTGCCCATTTGCAGAGCTGTGCAGTGCTCTGGCCCCCTCATCTTAACTGCTGAAGTAACCTAAGACTTCTGGGCCTTGCCACCCACCCCACCACTACATTGTTAGGAATTCTAGGACTTTCTGTTTGCCTTACAACTTAACTTTCTTTTGTATATTGTCTTCCTCAATTAGAGTCTGGGCTTCTTGAGAATAGGGGTTGTCTAGCCTTTTCTATTTGTATCCCCAGAATTCAGCCTAGAGCTTTGCATATGGTAAGTGCTTAGTAAATGTTTTTTCATTCATTCATTTACTCATTCATCCATTCTAAGCTGACCCTTTTAAGTTGTAAGAGTCTATGATTCTGTCATTCCAAAATTTCATGTGTAAAGTATGTACCTTTTGCTTTTCATATGTGACAAGTTTGGTCATTGAAAGGGGTATATTTTGACTTAGACTAGTTTCCTGGTATTTTAAGTTTAATTTTAGACTGAAACAAGACACTCATAAGTGATTCCAAAGTTAACAAAGATCTTCTTAGGTGTAGTGGGATGGGGGAAGGATATTCAACAAGAAACACTTGAAGACACTGCAAGTTGATTCAGCTGTCTTTTCATTAGGAATGTTTCCAAGTCTTCTCTTTCATTTAAAGTTATTTTTTTTCCACTGTAGGATTATTTTGTTTTTCTAGGTAAGTTTTTTTTTGTTGTTGTTGTCTTTTGAAATTTTATAATCTAAGCTCTAAACTCATAATTTTAGCTGCTACATGTTGCGTAATCTGGACTGTGGTTCCTTAATAGTTGAAGCTTTTGTTTCTTGATGCTTGCATTATTTTAGCTTTGCCCTTAAAGTTCCGGATTTTGGCAGTGATATATCTGGGAGTTTTCATTTTGGAGTTTCAAGAGGTGGTAAGTGGATTCTTTCTATTTTCACTTTATCTCTTAATAAATGTAGGCAGTTTTCTTTCATGATTTCCTGAAATATGATATCCAGGCTCTTTTATTTTCATACCTTTCAAGTTGTCCAATGATTCTTTTAAAAAAATATTAGTATGAGTCACCAGGCCTCCAGTCTGGTGACAACTTCATTCCTGAAACCTTCTAATGAATTCCTACTAAGCTCAAGCAATGTTTATGGAATAATAGAGGGATGCACTGGTAAATGTTTTACAACTAGGTGCTACTAAAAAAAATGCACACACACACTTTTATCTGGATTATTAAGTATAGACAATTAAAAATTCCAATAAACCAAGATCTAGTTTGTAATGATTTATGATTTGTGAGGTGAATGCTCACACTGAAAATTTAACAATAAGGTTTTGTAAGCTAGTTAGATCTGGCTACAGCACTGCCTGAATTTAACACTGATTTTATAAAGCTATAAAATTCTTTAAAAAAATTAAAATATTATTTATTTTAAACATTCTTTTTTTAATTTTGAGTTCCAAATTCTCTCCCTCTCCCACCCACTGAGAAGGCAAGCAATTTGATATTAATTATACATGTGAAACCATGCAAAACATATTTCCTATCAGCCATATTGCAAAAATTAAAAACAAACAAAAAACAAAGTGAAAAAATTATGCCTCAATTTTCATTCAGAGTTTATTAGTCCTCTCTATGAAAGTGGATAGCATTTTTTCATCATGAGTCCTTCGGAATTGTCTTGGATCATTATATTGATCAGAGTAGTCAAGTCTTTCACAGTTGATCATCATTACAACATTGTTGTTACTGTGCACAATGATCTCCCTGTTCTTCTCACTTCACTTTGATTCAATTCTTATAGCTTTTTTGTGTTTTTTTTCCTCTAGAACCACCCCCTCATCATTTTTTATAGGAAAATAGTACTCCATTAGAATCATATGCCACAACTTGTTCAGCCATTTCCAATAGATGATCATCCTCTTAATTTCTAATTCTTTGCCACCACAAAATATTTTGGTCTTTTTCCTTTTCCTTTGATCTCTTTGGGAAACAGACCTAGAAATGGTATTGCTGGGCTCAAAGGGTATGCATATTTTTATAGCCCTTTGGGCATAGTTCCAAATTGTTCTCCAGAAAAACTGGATCAGTTCATTACTCTACCAATAGTTCATTAGTGTATCTATTTTCCCTCATCCTCTCAAGCATTTGTCATTTCTGATAGGTGTGATGTGGTACCTCAAAATTGTTTTAATTTGTCTTTCTCTAATCAAAAGTGATTTAGAGTTCACGACCCACAGTTTCAGAAGCACTGAAGGGGTTGTTAGTGGAAAAAGTTTAAGAAGCCCTGATTTAGAGCATGTTTTCATATGACTATAGACAGTTTTGATGTCTTCTGAAAACTGCCTATTTATACCCGTGGATGATTTATTAATTGAGGAATGGCTCTTATTTTTAAAAATTTGACCAATTCTCTGTATTTGAGAAATGAGACCTTTATCAGAGAAATATTTGATTTCTCCATATTTGAGAAATAAGACCTTTATCAAAGAAACTTGCTGTAAAATTTCATGATATAACTTCATTATTTATGGTACCTTTTAGCAAAATGTAGTATCTCTAATTATTTCTTTTAATTAGGTCTGTTTTTGCTTTTGCTTTGTCTGAGATCATGATTGCTAGCCCTACCTTTTTCACTTCAGCTGAAGCATATTTGATTCTGTTCCAGCTTATTATTTTAACTGTGTGTGTCCTATTTCAAGCATATCTCTGGTAAACAATATATTGCTAGATTATAGTTTCTAATCCATTCTGCTATTTGCTCTCATTTTATGGGTGGGATCATCACATTCATATTCACAGTTATGATCACTAACTCTGTATTTCCTTCTATCCCATTTTCTTCTGTTTATTCTACTTTTTCTCACTTTTTATCCTTTCCCTCCTAAAAAATCTATTTTGCTTCTAATAATTGCCTCCCTTAATCCACCCTTCCTTTTGTCATCCCCTTTTTTCTCTTATTCCATTCCCTTCCTATTTCCTTATGGGGTAAGATAAATTTCTAGACATAATTGTGTGTGTGTGTGTGTGTGTGTGTATTTCCCTTCTTTGAACAAATTCTGATGAGAGTGAGATTCAAGGAATGACCTCTCCCCCATTTTCCCCTCCCCTGTAAAAGCTCTTCCTTGCATGCCTATTTTATATGAGAGATTTTTTTCTTCTTTCTCTCTTCCTCCTTCTCCAAGTGCATTCCTCTTTATCACTCTTTCAGTTGCTTTGGAGATCATTCCAATACAATTGACTCACACTCCTGCACTCTACCTATGGAAACTCCTTTTAACTGCCCTAATAATGATAAAGTTCTTGTGAGTTACATGTATCATCTTCCCATATAGGAATGTAAATGGTTTAGCCTTATTGAATTCCTTATGATTTCTTTTTCATGTTTACCTTTTTGTGATCCTCCTGACTCTTATTTTTGAATGTGAAAATTTCTATTCTGTTCTGGTCTTTTTATTGGTAATGCTTGAAAGTCCTCTATTTCATTAAATTTCCATATTTTCCATTAAAGGATTTTACTCAGTTTTGCTGGTAGGTGATTTTTGGTTGTAATTCTAGCTCTGTTGCCTTCTGGAATATCATATTCCAAGCCCTCCAGTC